CTCTCTCTCTCTCTCTCCAGTTCTCTCTCTCTCTCGCCCACAAAGCGTGACGCGTATACGCGTATTACAGCTATAGCCGGTCGTTCTATAGCCGCTATGTACGCGTATAGCTATACGAAGTATGTAGGAAACGCACTCATTTTGTCAGGAGAGTGATACGCGTTTCGAACTGAGTATAGCTATACGTGGTCATTCAGACGAGAGAAATTTATCGCGAGTACGTACGAAACTCTGTTTCGTATGCGTACGAACCGTGGATTTTGCTACGTGTGAACGCGCTATAAGCAAGCGTGGCCGATCAGGGTGGGCTCAGGTCACCGATACATGTACATAAATGTGATGTTATACATTGTATCAAGCTAGCCAGACAATGCATCTAGACATGTACGTTTACAGTGTAGCGGGTGAGTCGAAGACTACCAGTCTACCCCGCAGTCAGCAAGCTCGGTCGGAACGAAAATGCGCGAGTGTGGTCTGATTGTATCCTACCGTGGACTCCGGTTTAGGATTATGATCAGTTAGTAAACAAAGAACAACTCAAACATATCAGTAAATTTGTTTGTGTTGAAATATTGGCAGTCGCCCAAACTTTTTTTTTTGGGCAAGTGACTACTTGACTTTTGCAATTTTCGGTCGCCCGAGCTAGACATTGGTCGCCTGTGGCGAGTGGGCGACCGTCTGCAGTGTCTATCTAGCGATCCGATTGATATCAAACTCAATCTTTGTTATAGCCCTTTGGACTCTGAAGAGTTACCGTTACAAAGTTATGTAAAAAGCCTATGTGTAGTACTGGTGGAGATAGTGTCAGTCTAGTATTAGTAGTAGAAGTAGCAGTAGTAGTAATATAGTAGTGATTTGGACATTGTTGTCTTGTAGAGTTAGGCCTACTAGCTCACCTGGACATGGCTTTTTCGTTCGGACGAGCCATTCAAGGCTTGCTAGGCCTCGCTGTAGATGAGGTTTCTGCATCGTTGGTAAATGAGGTGAACATCAAAGCTTATAATAACCAGAGAGTGCATCTGCGAGAGGGCTTCCTTACGTTATATTACATGGTTGGAGCCAGAAAGTATGAAATAGTGCTACAGAATCCCAGTGCCACTAATAAAGTCTTCAGGTGCGTACAGCGGTCGTTATTGATATCAGTTGAAATTAATTTAGATGCAAAGCAAATATAAACTATAGCCACGAACATATGTAGAGAACTTACATAAGTTCATGCTATAAGTATAAATATGTAACCAATGTTTAAAATGGTTTAATTGCTAGTGTAATATAACATGAGATATATATGTAGGACAGCATGTAAGACTTCAGCATAAATCTACAGTTATTAATAGGCATGCATAAGTCTACGTTTAAGAAGCATGTCTTCAGCTGTTTATATCATATATCTGTGATTACACATTTCAGTAGTATTTCTCTTGAATCAGAGGCCATTAGGCCATATTGTATATCACAAATCGGTAATAGTGTCATGTGCGCACTACTTGAAAACTAAACAGAAACTGTTGGTTTCTTGCAGTCTAGCACGATCATTCAAGGACAATGAAGCCACTACACTCTTTGGAACCTTTGTCACTAAGCTTCAGCCATTACTGGAGTTTAGTAGACAGGTGTATGATAGCGACACGCTGGCAAAGGCATGTGGCTATTGCAGGGAGGAGCCGAACTGGCTACCAGTTCACATTGCCGCTGCGGTCGGGCTAACTGATTGCATAAAAACTTCGTTACTACAGAGGTACAAACTTTATTAGGTCAGCACTCTCAGTTAAATGTACGTGTCCGTGCATGCATATGTGCATATCACGTGATTGCGTACCATGTCATAATATCATATGTGTATATGTGTGTGTGTGTGTATATGCGTGTGTGTGTGTGTGTGTGTACATTACATATATTGGAGAATGTTTTTTTTTAAATTTTCAGTCATTTAAACACTCCGGCAATCATCAGTGGATTGACACCTCTACACTTGGCCGTACAGCATGAAAACATTGCATTTGTGAATGCTCTGGTTGAACTAGAGGCAGATGTCAATGTGCAAGATTCCCATGGGAATAGTCCTTTGTACTACGCCCTGTCAAAGGAACCCCAAATACTAGAGGTGGGTTTAATTGCTATATCCAAAATAAACTGTGTTAAATTAAAGTTAGTAGAAATATAATGAACTGGAAAAATGATCTAGTTAGTTGTAATCACTGAGAGTGAAGAGAAGGAGAGTTCAGAGTGAATGTACACATGCAGTGGTTTCCTAACATCCCACATGTCGATGACTCCATGTGGCAGTGCAGGCACCCTCACTACATAATTATGAGTTGACTAAAATTACATAACCTATATCGCTCGTAATTCTTTACAAGTCTGTGCATGGCTAATGCACACATGTTGACTTGGTTGTCCAGCAGATATATTCTAAACTGTGTGGGAGTTGGTGCCTGTGTTACATACCATGCAGTGCCTACGTGTGACTATAAGATAATGTTTCATGTTCTTGGTCATGTTGTGTTGGGTCATGTTCATTTCATGCTTAGGTCCTGTCCATGTCATGCTTGGGCCATGCTTAGGTCATGCTTAGGTTATGCTCATGTCATGCTTAGGTCATGTTCATGTCATACTTGGGTCATGCTTAGGTCATGCTTGGGTTATGCTTATGTCATGCTTAGGTCATGCTCATAAGTTATGTCAGGTCATGTTTACATCATGTTAAGGTTGTGTCAATTGAGCTCAATGTTCACGTCATGTTGCGGTCATGTCACGTCAGGTCATGTTCATGCCATGTCATGTTATGTCAGGTCTAACTCACGTCATGTTCATCATTATCATTTCACGTTGGGTCGTGCTCGTGTGATGTAAAACCAAGGTCGCCGTTGCTGTCGTTGATGATCATGCAGATCATGCTGCGGCGGCCATGTTTGGAGACGGTGAACTACTTCAGCACGAGTCTGGAGACGCTGCTGTTTGCGGCGTGCGTCAACGACTACCCAGCCAGCGCGTGTCTGCTGCTGGCCCACGGCGCCGACGTCGGCTTCTCCTGTCGCAGCTACATGTACGAGATGCACGGTGCGGCGAAGGCCGGCAGCCTCGGGTACGTAGCTGTACTCACCATGCAGCACTGCTGTATATATGTATTGCAAATATTCTTTGCTTAAACATCTCTTTAAACTGTAACCTAAGTAGAACATATAGTACATATAGTTACCTAAGAAGAATGAATTTGTTAGGAAATTAGGAATTAGTGCAAACAGATTAGTATTACCATAAACATATATATATATATATATGCTATAAGTACATGCATATGTATGTTTGTGGTATTACTCGATTCTTTTTCTCTGTAGGTGCATAAAGACAATCTGTGAGCTATATCCACATGAAGTGAGAAGAAAGGATGATAGACATGGTGGTACTGCTTTACACTGGGCCAGAGACAAGCAGGTAAGCAGCCTACACAAACTCTCACAACATTAATAACACCGATACCAACAAATACTGTCTGGTTGCAGAGGATTCCTGAATAGCTACAATAATTTTGCAGAAGAAGACACTAACACAGAGACCCTGATGTGCAAAGAATACATTTTAACTGGTAACCATTTCTCTACATCTTAAAAATGTATCGTATTCACGCTTCTTAAAATATAGCTAAATGTGGCAATCTCAAACGTGACTTTAGACCGTCGAGTTACTGGTGAGCTTAGGAGCGAATTTGGACACACCCAGCAAAACAGGTGACACACCACTACACATCATGGTAGAGAAGCACCGGCTTGACTGTGTCATCGCACTGCTGTGCAGTGGAGCATCCCCAGATATATTGAACAGGAGTGGAATGACAGCCCTCCACGTGGCTGTGCAGGTGATATGCTTTGTGTTTGTAGCAAACGAGTGTGCAAACAACTTGTGGGAAGGTTTGTGCCCACATGTTGATTATGTGATGCCTCTCCCATATAGTTTACTTTATTTAGTAATTACTGTCATGTTTTAAAAGTCATCATTATGGAAAAATTTGGCTTGAGACAACTCTCTTTGTCACCCATTGTGCTATAAAGTTAATTAGTTTAAGTTGTGAAAGTAGTATTTTATACTATGTTGGAAAATATTGATTTCAAACATTGTTTGTAGGGGAACCTTCACAATGACCAAATCGGTCCTTGTTAAGATTCTCATAAATTCTATGTAGTGAAATGAATAATCAATTAACTGGGTCATTTTCTGCATCCATGTTTATCATCTTTGAGTAGGCCTGTTAGATTATCATCGTACATTTGCACTTTGGTTGTTTGTGGAAACATACTGTGCTAATCCACGAAGTTTCCACATGCAGGATGCTCTATATTAATTATTATCTGTGATGGAAAACTACAACTGTGGGGTTTGTGTGTGTTCTGTTTTTTAGATGGGTGATTTAAATGTGACTCGAGCACTGCTCGTGTTTGGAGCCGATATGGATGCTGTTACTAATCATCAGCAGTCGGTGCGCCACCTAGCAGCGACGACGCCTAGTGCTAACAAGGCTGCGATGATTTACACACTACATGCTGTCGGTGAGTTATGAGAAACGTTATTAATTTTCTTATTTGCATTTTTTCCCTTATTTCGTTACCTGTTACATTCTTTTTTGTCAACTGTTTGTCATATTTTTCATCTCGTTCTTTTTATCTTCTTCTCCTCTGCCTTTGTCTTCTTCTTCTTCTTCTTGTTCTTCTTCCTTCTTCTTCTTCTTCTTCTTCTTCTTCTTCTTCTTCTTCTTCTTCTTCTTCTTCTTCTTCTTCTCTTCTTTCTTCTTCCTTCTCTTCTCTTCTTCTTCTTCTTCTTCTTTCTCTCTTTTCTTCTTCTTCTTCTTCTTTCTCTTCTTCTCTTCTTCTTCTTCTTCTTCTTTCTTCTTCTTCTCTTCTTCCTTTCTTCTTCTTCTTTTCTTTCTTCTTCTCCTTTTTCTTATTTCTTTTATCTTCTTACGTCTTCCGTTCTCTTTTTCTTCTTTCTTCTTCTTCTTCTTCTTTTTCTTCTTCTCCTTCCTGTTATTTTTTTGTTCTTCTTCTTGCTTTTTCCTTGCCCGTGTGGCTTAATTGAGATTGTGTAGCCACTAAATATTTAGTTTTAGATACTAAATACCCTGGTGCGAACCTAATAGTTCAGTATGAGTACGCCGCAAGAGATAGTAAATGTTCAGAACCCCCCTTTTCCAAATGAAGTGGCAGTCTTGGCCAAATGGCGTTAAACATATCGGGAGACAATAAACATGGTAGCACTGTATCTGTGTTTGTCTGATAGGTGCTAAACGCTGTGTCTCCAGTCTGGGAGTGACTGGCTGTAATAGTGGGTGCCAGCCCGGCGAAACGTACAACGGTATGATAAGCATCCCTCCTGCTGCATGCAAGCCGACACATTGTGAGTATTGCTGACCGTCCTGCACCGGGATGGTCTAGGGAATGACAGGCATAGTTACGTTAAAACCCAATGCGTTTTTGGTAGGTGCTCTTTGGTGTTTAGAAATATATTGCCAAAAACTAGGAATGTCTGGCAGTGGTCGATGTAAATAGGTCTACAACCAGTAGAACTTTTGCAAGTTTGTACGTGCATCATCACTTGGAGATGTTTGCATTAATGACCAGTAGTGGTCATTAAAATTTCTATTCTAGTCAACAGAGCATTGTATTTTGAGTGTCTGAATGGTGCGTTGAGTTATGCTGACGAACTAGCTGCAAACTCTTAGAAATTTTATCAGTTACTACCAACTTACCTCATGCAAATCCAATTGGCTAGTAGAAACGGTGTATCAATCCTCACGTTTACATCCGTATTATCCGCATCCATGTACTATTTTGCTGTATGTATTTTGTGTCAAATGTGAGAATGCGATGAAATTTGAGAATACGTGTAGATTATTTTTGCTCACATTGCTTGGAACAGACCTGGAGGACCTCGTTTCCACGGCGATGTTTGCGTCGGCGATGCAGGGTAAGGATGAGGCGGACAGCGGTGGCAAGAAAAGACGTGGCAACGTACTCTGCCTGGATGGTGGAGGTATCCGGGGCCTCATACTTGTACAGGTGCGTCGGGCATGGTATTTGCCGGATTTTTTTCCCCACAGTAAAATGCGACTGAAATAATTATGTTTATTACTGGTGCTATTATGTATAAATATATATGTGTCTGTGTGCGTGCGTGCGTGCGTGCGTGCGTGTGTGCGTGCGTGCGTGCGTGCGTGTAGATTACATATATACTCATACAATATATGCTTATTATCTCTTGTTTTTGCAGGTGCTACTAGCTATAGAGAAGATTGCAGGCTGCCCTGTTATTGAGCTCTTTGACTGGGTGTCAGGGACAAGCACAGGTGGCATCTTGGCTCTTGGACTTGCAGTTGGTGAGTCATCATTGAAATTGTACATCTAATACGGCAAAACATTAAATAAAAAATACATACAAAAATAATACATAAATACGACCTTATAAACTTATGAAGTTTTTTTTATTAAATACATATTTAATTAATATTTAATTTATCATTCATTAATACCTGCATAATTCACGCCTGGAAGTACGTGTGTTCCGGCCCGCATGTGTCATTGTCGTCATCGTCTCCTGTCAAGGTCGTACGGCGAGGGAGGCGCAGGGGTTCTACTTCGGCTTCAAGGACAAGGTCTTTGATGGCAAGCGGCCGTACAACTCGGGCCCGCTCGAGGAAGCGCTGAAGCGGGAGCTCGGCGAACACACGCGCATGCTCGACATAAAGAACGTACGGTGAGTAAGTAAGGTGGCGTCGATCGCCGCGTCTCGTCACAATGACGTCCGATTTCATTCTAGACTGAAGTGAAACGGTGGCTGAGAACTTGCCAATTACATTTGCATGACACGGGTTACATATGTGATTGCGCTTCATTCATGTGCCGAGAACCTGAGAATGCTTGCGGCAATTAAAAGGATGTGCTTTTGTTTCTTATAAGTGGGTTTGTGACATTGATTTACGGTAGAATTATTATGAAAGCAAAGATGCACTTTTGTTTATCGGCAGCAAGTTTTTTAGCTGCTATTTACGAGAGAATCTCTGCAAGTAAGAATGCACTTTTGTTTATTGGCAGAACATAACGCTGCTATTTATTGATTATTTATTTATTGATTATTATTTCTCGGCAGCGTGTTCGTAACCGACATTTTCGTGAGAAACATTGTGCGAGTGAAAATGCTCTTTTGTTTCCCGGCAGTGTGTTCGTAACCGCAGTGCTCGCCGACAGGCATCCGGCGGACCTGCATCTTTTTCGCAACTACGCGGTCCCCGGTGAGGAGCTGCTGAGACAGCAGACGGGTGGCAAGGTTGGCCAGGTGAAGGCCGCTGCCTTCACGGCGCCACCCTGTTACACGCGTAAGCTTTCTCCTCATCCACTATACATACATACTTCCGTGGGTGGGTCGTGTAGTGTAGCGTGATGGATGGATGGTTGTGGTTGTGATTACAGGTTGAGTGAAGCATGTCGATTAGTGTGCTGTAGATTTTTCTGTTGTATCGTCTGTATATCTTCTTAGCTTTACCAGAAGTTACGATGTATGTTCAATGCAGAATTGCCAGTATTGGTGGTGCAACTATGTCATCATTTAACATGTAACGAAAATACGAGAAAATAAGTGGAGCTAGTGGGTTTTAAGGAAGTAATTCCTGAAGGTGTTCGCAGGTGTTGAGAAATACTGGATGTTGGTATAGGTAGGGAAATGGGAAGCATCAGGAATGACATAATATAGATTATATCTCCATGTCCAGTTTTTTACGTCACTCCTGACAGTATGTATGGTGTATTAATACGTAAATTCCATTAGTTTGAAACACTATAATCCCTTCACATTTCTGTATTTATCGTACACAGAGCAGTTGGTGTGGCAGGCGGCACGTGCGTCCGGGGCAGCACCCACGTTCTTCAAGCCTCTAGGAATGATGCTAGATGGAGGGCTCATGGCCAATAACCCAACGCTGGATATGCTCACCGAAGTACAGCAGCACAATGCTGCCTGCCTCGTGTCTGTGAGTATGTGCCTGCCAAAAAAATATCACTCACTGAATTACAGACATACAGACGTACAATTCTGTCTGTCTGCTGTGTAGTTATGCCTACCATAAATATAAAATCAGTCTGTGAGTGCTGCACTAACACACACCTAACTAAATTGATACACGTTATTATTTTCGCAGGGGGAAGATGACCATTTTCCTCTGAAATGCGTTGTTTCCATTGGAACGGGTAAGTTATCATTAGGAATTATCTGTAGAACATTCATATGCTATGTCCATGATCCATCTGTTACACTGCAATGGTGTAAGCTCTTGCAAATCTTTCTGAAAACGTATTGTGATTGTATTCGAATTATACTACCGAATGGAATATTAGCCAACAGAGATTATATTATATGACCTTTTATATGGCATAATTTACATCTTAGGACTAATCCCCGTGAAAAAGGTGCAGAGTATTGATATTGAGCTACCTTCGACCCTCTGGGGCGCTGCGAAAGCTGCATTCGGTGCTATGAGCCTTGTAAATCTTCTAGTTGACCAGGTATTGATTACGTTTGAAACGTATTGAAACTGATTACGTTTGGATACTAGTTATTTTAGTATGCTACCTAGCTCCAACAATCTACGACAATGTGGTTGATGAATGATCCAATGCTTAAAATTATCTGTCTATGTGTTTATTTACTTAGTTATTATTATTATTGTAAGATGGTTCAACCAATTCATCCTGTCACTGTGTCCAGGTGGCCGTATATTCATCCTGCTGTTATCAGGAATTCGAATGCGTGGTTAAGAGAATTCAACTAGTCATGTACCACTTCTAGTATTGCTGATAGGGTCTATGTCCCCCAGGGTACTGCCGGAACGTACCCTGGGTACGGTCTGGTATACCGGAACGTACCCTGGTAACTATCTAATATGCCGGACCCTATCAGCTCTAGTATTCTACTCTGTGTAAACGCACCTTCACACTGACTGCATGCAGTCGTCTACTGTGGTACCGCGCCCATTCACGCCCGCATCGTGTCCTGTCAGACTCTCCATTCTCTTGCTTCCTTTGCCATCCTGTAGCTGCGTCCGTTCACGCTGCCACCGTGTCTGATCATGCAGGTGTCGAATTCGTCGGGACAGACCGTGGAGCGGGCGCGCGCGTGGTGCAACATGGCCGCCGTGCATTACTTCCGCTTCGACCCGCAGCTTTCCGCCGACGTGATGCTGGACGAGAAGGATGACGTCATCATCTTGCAGATGCTCTGGGACACGATGGCGTACTTGCACGAGCAGAGAGAAACGCTCGAGAAGCTCGTGTCCATCTTGCAGCGATAAGAGAAGGTACCAGGGTAAAAAATACACGGGAACTATGAGCGATTCGCTCTTCACACCTCTGAAATCGCTCTCGTGTGGCTCAAAATAGCTCCCGTAAAATTTTTGACGAGAGCTATTTTTCGCACAGATTTTTGAAAAAGAGCTCCTGTGAAAGAAAATAAATTTCCCCCCTGGAAGGTACGCGAGTGGAAAGGCGTGGGTTTCTCGTTGATTCAAGGAAACGGATGATTAAGGAACGATTTAGATGACAGTAGTTGGAATGGATGTAGCAAAATCTTTCGATACCAGTATATTTATTTAAATTCTAACATTCCAATTGTTTTAGTATGTTTTAGTAATCTTAAGTTGCACATTGACGTGCACGGCCACATTTCTGTGCTGGCCTGCATGGTTAGGCCGGCATCATATTTCTTTTGTAATCAATCAGCATTGATAGCAGTTCAATAACATCAAGAGTACAAAATAGAGATGTATTATTATTCTCTATTATTAATCTCTATTATGTACTCTTGATAACATGTCATACCAGCCATATTCACTTCTATATTGCAGTAATCAAAATAGTTATGATCATTAAACCATCAACTCCACTTAAATGATAATAAGGAATCGAGAGTTAATGTTGGTAATGCAGGAAGCTGGCATATCGTTACTGACACCTGCTGATTTGTGTCATAAGAAAGGATATGATGTGATGACAAGTAATGTAATAATATGAATCACATCTCAGATCTGGTAATCATTATATCCCAGTATTATGTCCATGTACTCCTAAACCTATCATCTCTGCAGAATGTACTATTTTATTTTTTTTAAAGATTTTGCAATCATCTATATTAAATGTGTATACATAAGCAGGTAATATATTGTAGCTACAAGAGAGCACAAATGTGCATGTACTACTGCAATTGTAGTTTACATAATATCAGAAGTAGATAATAGGGAACTATATTAACCTATTATCTACTTCTGATAATATTGTATTTACTAACATAACAATCTGTTTATATTGTTTTTGTTTAATTGAAGTTGTTAAATCTGAATTTCGAAGGTGGCCTTCAAGGATAGATTAAATTCCATTATATCCTATGTGTGTGACCTAAATCTTACTATAGGTGCGTTCACACTGGCGCGAATTAGCGGGCTGCAAAACCCGGTTTTTGCAGACCGCTCGAAAAATCGAGCTTTTTACAAGTGTGAACGCAATTAGCTCACTAAATCACGCTCAAAATAGCGCGCTGCAAAGAACACTTCCGACTGCGCTAATTTGGAATAAGCGCGCTTATTTGCACCGCGGCGTGTTATCCCGCTCGGCGATTAGCGAGATATTTCCACCTGTGTGAACAACGACACAATTAGCTCACTATTATCTCCGCTATTAGCGGGATGAGCAGCGCGGTTTTTCTTGTGTGTGAACACGCCTTATGTAGCTTTAAAATAATGCTGGCACATACAATGAAAATAAAAACAATGTCTGTGTGTAACCACAAGCGAAAAGACAGCTGCATTTATTTCCATTCTTTAATTATCCACACATGCATACGATACACAACATAATAATGTAACGGCTGCAATTAAATAAAAATAAATAAGTTAACGTACACTTTATAGTACAATGGTAATAAGCACAGACATACATGAGATTTCCACTCCTACTCTGTATACACGAGGGTTTATAACAACCGTGTGCATGTTTGACGTGGGGGACACAGCATCTATGATAGTACATGATAATTTGCATCGGGATAAGTAGAGTGGAGGAAGTAGTGCCTAGTAACCAAATATCTACATGAAAGAGTAACAATTTGAATTACGCTACACATTGTACGAATGTCTAGCCAGTTTAGGGGGGCAAAGCTCTCATTCCACATTTTTTTGGCAGAATACTGTTTTAACTGCTTTCCAGCGTCGCAAAATGCGAAAGCTCGCAAGATGTCATCACAGACCTCTTTATACTGTTCTATCGTCGATAGCCGGGGGAATATGTCTTAGTGACAGCGCATGGTTATAATACTAATGAAACGCGCTCTCTCTTTATAAACGGTCACTGTTCCAATCCACTCGCTACGACCAGACCATCGCTAGTCTGAAAGCACTACGAGTGACTGTACTACGTTAGTTTCATTAGTAACATTGACCGAAACAGCCGAGGTTGCCCCACGTACGCAGACCTCGTTATAGAAGAAAATCGCGTTTCATACGTTGAGTTGTAATTGGATCCTATTCACGGTTGCTCACGGCTTTCGCTGAAGTCAGCCCCACACGTAAATACTTTCCCCATAAGCGTCACTCGTCGGAGGCTACGACCTACGACGTTAGCGCGATGCTAGAACATAGTTTACCTAGCTTTGGCTCTATAGCGGCCCCCACCACTCCACATTATGCAACGTGGAAGCCCTCATCAACTAGGGAGCTGGCCACAGTCATGAGCGACCGTGAAGTTTGAAGTGATATCTGCTGTTCCCGACTCAATGAAGCATCATGCCCACCTTGGTCGACGTAGTAGTAGTAGTAGTAGTAGTAGTAGTAGTAATAGTAGTAGTAGTTAGTAGTAGTAGTAGTAGTAGTAGTAGTAGTAGTAGTAGTAATAGTAGTAGTAGAAGCCCTAAGGCCAGAGTCACACCTTACCAACTCCGCCCGTATGTCAAAGCAATACACGGCACTTCTATCGTATTTAGCTGCGTGAAATGCACTAGTGTTGTGACTTGTCTTGTTATAGTTTCATGACTGGAACATCTATGGTGACGAAGGGAACATCTATGAACAACAGGGTATAGAACGTGGTTCATACACGTGTGTGAAAGCCACAAGCGAGTGTTGTGCACTGCACGCACATGCTTGTGCGCCCACAACACTAATGACTGTGCCAACAGAAACTTATGGCATTAATGATTGCTAGTCTTTGAAGAAGTAATATGATCAGTTCTATTCACTTCTCACACACAATTAAGCCGGTATTTACGAAGAGTACTAGCCCACAGTATAAGATAATCGTTTACATACACATTTATGCGAACTGCAACTTATAATACACTGGCAATGACAACCTGATAAATAGTACATCATCTTCTGAGCATGCACTGTGCCACCAATCAGATGGTACCCCGTGCAACCGTAGACCCCCCCTCCTGCCACACTTACCTCACCCTTGCTACAGTGTATTTATCCCCACATCCACGCATAAGAGTACAATAGCTACCCACGACATGCTATACCCTAGCATGCACGACACGATACCCACATCCATGGTCTTTCGCTTCATATTTATAAGTCTCTTCGGAAACTGCGGCAACTAGACACACCATAAATCATCTATTTCAGACAGAAATGACTCGCCGCGTCTATGACACGATACATGTACTCCCACGCACATGTCACGATGAACCTATGTATGCTAGCATATACAGGTCCACGGTGATGTTACCATACGGCAACTAACGTTTTATAAGCTATACATACCACCGACTAGCAGCATCACAAAATTGGCATTATGTGTACTCTGTCAAATTACGATTTTTTTTCTATAAACGTCTTCTAAACGAATACTAAACGTGGAAATTTGCGACAACGGCTTTGGCTTACTGAAACCAATAGGAACACTTTATCACGTGTGCATCACTGTCATACTTACAATCTTACAGTCTTACTTGTCAAGATTACTGTCAGATGTACTCTCCTGTGCTAATTAAATTACACTCTGAACGTCTAAAAATTCGAGAATAAACCATTTGCCAAATGGCATTACACACTAAAGTTCAGGCTGGTAAAACAAAATACAAAGTGCCAACGAAACAGAATGGTTTCGTATCTGATACAGGGTGACATCCCTAGAATCAGGAGTGTAATAACATCATCGATTATCTATATCATGACACTCCTGACAGAATGACTTATTCGATGCTCAAAATAGTAACGTGAATGCTAGTCTTAAAAATATACACCCGACTTTCCTCGAAGCTGCATCTCTAAACCGCTCCCTTGCATCACGCGTGCGATGGCACTGACAAGTGCAGCTCTACCAATAGAGCTCTTCGCCCCGGTACAGGCCTGTAGCTCGGAATGGAGGGCGATGTAGGTAGAGCTGTGCCGCGAGGTGAGCATCTCGTAACCATGGAGACGTGCTCGCAGGATGGGGTACGCGGATCACTAGCGGAGACCCAGTATCCTAACGTGGTGTGAGGCTTGGGCAGGCGGTCGCACCGTGAGATTAAGGTGATGGCACTCGAGATGCAGCGACGATAAATATTACAACAAAATGGCAAAGTTCTATTGCCCACCACCACAACGAGGCACCGCTCCCAAGGCAGCAGCTTCTGCGCAACTCATAAACCACAACAACGCCCGCCGTCCATCTGTCTGAATCAGGACCATAGGAAAGAAATAGACGTGCATGCCAAAACACCGACAACATAGACTCGAGCAGACGATAGACACCGTAGCAACAGATGGAAACACGCATTGTTGATGATAACGAGTTCTCTACACAAATTAAACCTTAAATTATACTTTGTTCATAACTTGTTTTTTCGAAACTAGTTATGACTTGCCTCTACGAAGGAAAACTGTTTTTTTTTTAAATAGAAAAAGTAGCTTCATAGACGTAGCTTTCATGACTGCGACTAATAGACCAAACTCAACTATTATTTCATTTGAAATATGGGATACGAAAAACAATAACATATAACCAAAAATATATCACTACAGTCAACTCTCCCAATACTGACCACCCTCCATTTAGTTCGGTTTTCAGTGAAGTTCGGTTAATAGGGGAGGACATCTTACATGCCTCAGATGGTATTGGGACTTGATGGTTTGGGACTGAACTCTCTGGTTTAACATAAGTTTTGCTTTTGAGGGCGTTCAGAATTTGGAGAGTTGACTGCACTACGTAGTAGCGCTACATTTTTGTCATAACCTACTGCAAGTATTACATACAGCAAAAAACGCATTTGAAAGTGAAATAGATGTTGTACTAGGTACAGCGTACACACGACATATGTAACCTACATGTAGTCACTAGAAACCCGGCGGTGAAGCAATTCCTTGAATACACCCATGCCATCTAGTTTCTGTGAGAGATTCAATGAGCTTATGATACATGAGCAAGGCCAGCCTGAAAGTACTATAATAGAAAACGGGGGAGAGCAGGGAGGAGGAATGTTGTCATCAACATATCGACTGTGACATCGAGTAAACATGTGGCGCACACACACACACACACATACACACACCCCCACACATACGCACGAACATCCATGCAGCCATAGACGAGAACACGCTGATGCAAAAACACCATAGGCGTGCTTGCATCAACCGACCGGCTGACCTGTAGTAATATCACAACATGGACCGCTTCACGGACATTGTGGACGTGCCGAATTCGTCGCGTTTTGGGCCGAAAAAAAAATCGCCGTTATCAAAAAACGAATGCTTTTAGAAAGAGCGCGGATTCCCCTGCGTCCACAGTTATATACCTCCGCAATGCAGCCCCAAACATCAAGGGCCCGTTGTCAGAAACAAAATTAGTCTTAACATTAGTCTTAACAATAACATTTTCTCGTAGACCGTCGACAGCGCTTTGTTTCGTATTGTTATCAGGAAATCTGCTACGATTTTTCATTCACGTAGCTTCGCAGCGTTTCTGTCGATGGTCTAAGAGAAAAGGTGAATGTTAAGACTAATGTTAAGACTAATTTTGTTTCTGACAACCGGCCCCTGATCACCCAAGCGGAGGAGCAGCTCAGACCCTGTGAGATGACTGCAGTTATGGTAGCAGTAGCAGCAGCAGTTGCAACCACGGCTACCGACCCGCGCAAGAAAACCAAAACGCAGAGTTGAGACCTCACCGCTCCATTGATGCCAACCGTTTGGGGCCACACTGACCTATCCGCCCGATCGAGACATCTGTTCCTACATGATGCGCGCCAAATATCGAGCTAGCAGCTCGTCGTTACTAAGCATTGTTTTTAGAGTGTCCCGTCGGGCCGCCGATTGGCTGATGCTGACCGTATAATTTCGTCGAGCGGATCTGGGTCGATAACCAGCGGAGGCAGGGAGATGCGCGTCGCGTTGAGAAGACGATGACGCGTATAGCTACGCCGCCCTCGCCGCTCGCGACGCGGCGGCGGCGGGGAGCGTGCGGTTACACGCGTCACCGTTCCCCGCAGGCGTCGTACAGCCACGCGAGGTCCGTCACCGACTTGATCGCGCCCGTGACGGCATGGAGCACATCGACGACCTTCAGGAAGACGGCGACGTAGCCGAAAAACTTGATTGCGTTTACGCAGATGCTCGCTACCTTCGGGCGGCCACCTATTTTGGGATGAGGCCTCGTGACTGCGGGTAGTGCTGCTGCGTCGCCGCGGCAACGGCCGGGTCGCCGGCGAGCGTGCGGCTAGCCGTGCGCGGCCTCGCCTTGTTCAGCTTGTCCTTGCGCATCTTCGGCTTCAGGTTGTTTAAGCTCGCGTCGATGACCTCGTCCTCCTCATCCCTGAGCGCGGCGTCGAGCGCCGCCTGCATGCGTGGCGCCACCTGGGGGCCGCGGTAGTCGGCCGTCGTCCGCTCGGGAACGTCCAGCTGCAGGCTGAGCACGTTCTCGCCTGCAACGGCGACGTGAAACGTGCGTGAACGAATGCGCAAACATGTGAAATGAGCGTAAACGAATGCGCAAACATGTGAAATGAGCGTAAACGAATGCGCAAACATGTGAAATGCGCGTAAACGAATGCACAAAGACGTGAAATGCGCGTGAACGAATGCACAAACATGTGAAACTCACGTGAACGAATGCGCAAACATGTGAAATGTGCGTAAACGAATGCACAAAGACGCGAAATGCGCGTGAAGGAATGTGCAAAAACGTGAAACTGTTTTGCGAAGATAATCACAGCACTATCACGGCTTTTACAATGATTTCAGTACCTTGGCTACAATCATAGAGCATAGGCCCTCGGCAGCTGTGTTGCTTTGGTCTTATTAATAGGCCTCGTCTAGCAAGCCTCAATTATTTACGCTGCGCGTACCTTTATATCGTGGGTTGCCTCCGACCATGGCGGCCATCTTTGCAAACTCCGTCATGGGTCGCCTGTAGCCGGTGCTCGCGACGGGATGCTGGAAGTCGTACTGGCCGAGAGCCTTCGAGAGAGGTGTGAGCTTCCACGTGTCATCCTCCTCCTCAAACACACACCTGCCCCAGACAAACGAGCAGACGCCATGCATTAACGTTTCCCCAAGCATAAACATGTCATACGCTGCGCGTTAACATCACCAATACCACAACTTAACGTATAGACAGTATTGTGTGGTATGTTATGAAATGGTATGGTAAATTATAAATTATAATATGGGACGGTGTGGCACAGTACAGTACAGTACAGTACAGTACAGTACAGTATAGTCTAATATAGTGTAGTATACTAGTACATCATAGTAATGTGTGCTATGCAATTTTTTAAATTAAAAAAACATTTCACATTATATCGCCAATGCTTCAATGCATATATGGTATGGTACGATATGGTACGCTACAGTATGGTACCGTACAGTACAGTATAGTTTAGTGTAGCATAGCACACCATAGACTAGCATAGCATAGCATAGCATAGCATAGTATAGCATAGCACAC